TTCATGTTATCAAATTACAGACTCTTATATTTGATGTAAATGTAAATGTAAATAAAAAAGACCTTATTTTGATTGTTAGTAGCTTTTTAAAAAACTCATTAATTTATCTCATGCAAAGTTTTATTCATTTTAATGAGCTATTTTGTAAATTCAATGCTACCAAAAAATAATTTTGATCTTGATTGTACATTATAATTTTTGAAGGAGGTTCGGATGAATCCTTTCCGCTCACAAGTGTAGGGGAGTGGGAGTTTACTTGGTAAATATTTGTTTGTACGTGATATTTATACCAAATCAATGCAATTTACTATAGTAAAGCAATTTAATGAAGTGAATATTGATTATGATCAAGTGCTCAATAAATATAAATACGTCAAACATGAGATGCATTCATTGATTTAATGTAAACATCTTATACGAATAAGTTTTTATCAGTTTAAGTTAATTTTTCCATTCAACATCTTAAGTTCTTTCTTTATAAGGTGTCACTTCATAATTTACCTTGTAACAACATGGGATGATTGATAAAAAATAAATAAACATGTAGTTGTGATTTATATCATGATTTTAAACAGAATTGAATTTCTTAAAATCCAAAAGAAATGTTCATTATCGAGCTCGAAATCGTCTTTTTATCATTATTTGGACTTTAAAATGAATTATCATTAACCTTTTAAATCTTCACTTATTTGTAAAAGGTAATGACTCCTAATATTCTTACAATCATAATTTGAGTCAAAACATTAGTTTCACATCCATTTTTCTTAACACATTGATATCAATTATAATTGAAATAAGTATTAAAAACATTTTTAAATTTGACTAGTTTCGTCCTTAATTATTGATAATCTTAAAAATTACCCCTCTAATTGACTAACTAAAGTTAGATACACCATCGATCTAGTACACGACATAACAAGTGGTTTCAAACTCTCACACGATTTAACAAATGGTCTCAAACTCTTGTAGAAGCATGAGACTCGTAATAAAAAGTCGAGAGAAGTGTTAGAGTTGTATTTCACTCATATCGAAAGATTAAAAGTGTATTTAAGCTCAGTTAGTTAAGGTGAAAAAACTAATAATTCATAGCAAGTTTAGGAAATATTTTTTCCATTTGAAACGAAAATTTCTTTTAAGCGGGAAACGAGTCCTTTAAAACCTGTGTAAAACCCTAGAAAACAATGAATACGGCGATGGCGAAAGAACCGCCATGGATGGAATTGCAGGAAGGTATATGGGAAAACATATTACAGAGGCTGGGTGTTATAGAGATACTGAAGACAGCACGGAAAGTGTGCAGAAAATGGAGGCAAATATGCAAGGAACCATCAATGTGGCGAGTTATTAACATGCGGAATAATGGGAACCTCACTGAAATAGGTTACCAGTTAGAGAAAATATGCCGCCGTGCCGTTGATCGCAGTAGAGGTGAACTTATTGATATCAATTTGCAGTATTTTGGCAATGATAAGTTGGTTCAGTACATAGCTGAAAGGTAATTTATTTCCCCCAAATTTTAGGGTTCCATTATGAATGTTAATTTGCTATATAAACTGACTTTATGATGAATTATAACATGATTAGTTTAGTTTTATATGCTAAAATGTGTAATTTAAACCTAAGTTGCTCCAACTTTCCAAAAATGTTTGTTGCACCAGTGTCGGATCCTTAAAAAATGCAATACGTATTTGACACGCATACATTTTTGAAGAGTCTGAGTAACATAGATTTGAACCGCCTGCCAGACTTTTTAAAGACAAAGTTTGAGACGCTTCATTTTTGTGTGAGTTGCTCAACTAGAGATTCATAACCGATTGAGAGGTATCGTTGTGCAAAACATGTTGAGTGTTTCATCTCACTTAATCTGTGGTTCAGTGTTGTCATCAAGGCTCTAAGTCATACTTTCCATTGCTAAAGAAGCGACATTGAACATTTGATATTTCCATATATTTGTTATTTATGCTTATTATTACTGGTCCTATACTAATCATATACATATTTGCATTTTTTTTCTCCATTTGCGCTTTTTTCAATTAAAGGCTACACTTTATTTGTGCTTTGTGTGTAAAGCTCCAATGAACCTTAGCTTTTTTGCGCTTTTGATAAACTTAGTAATGATTCACTTTCATAACAATGTAGAGATTAGAGGGTTGTTTTTCTTGAATACAAGTTTAAGGGTTCATCATAAACATCTCGAATCTTGATCTTATTTACCGAGAAGTTTCACAGAGCTTGTATCCACATTATAGGACTATTCACCTCCTGATACATGTATAGTTGACATAATCCAATGTATGTCTCGTGAACTTTTTAAATGTTGATGTTCCTCCACAAGTAAGCTTAACTGAACATGGATTATGCATTTCTGGTAGCTTTTTGCGCCAAGTTGCTTTGTCTTATCTTCCTTGTACCATACTCTGAAATATGTGAAGTGTATTTGCTGCCATCCATGGTCTTCTACATCTCTTATACAGGTCTTTGGGAATAATGTTCGTCATACAAAGGTCTTTATTTATAAAGTACTTTGAATTCCTAAGTTTCTTAATGCAAGAGTAAGTATTGTCACAAAAACAGAACTCATGGAAATTACTTGAGTAAAAAAAAAAGGAAAAAAGAAGATAGTAGTTATTCTGTGAAATAGGAAACATCCTCTAACTCATCTCAAAGATCAAAGAATCAGTTTCATAAAGTTGTTATCTTTCAGATTGCAAAAAAAAAACAGACGAATCTTTATGAATTTGTTGTTGTAGTACTTCATTACTCTTTTTGTTTGTGTTGCCTCTGAAATTCCATTCCTTCTCTTACTTCCCCAACAAAAACTGCTCTTTCACTGCAGAGAAAGCATGTTGTTTTTTCTGTGGTTTTTTTTTTTCTTTTCTTTTTCTCAAGTTGCAAATTGTTATATCCTACTACTCCATCCGTCCCAATTTAAGTGTCTTAGTTGACTGGCAACGGAGTTTAAGAAATAAAGGAAGACTTACAAATCTTGTGGTCATCAACTTGCTATGTAGGATGTTGGAATTGAAAAACTTACTAAATATATAAAGAGACTCTTTTTTGGGACAGACTAAAAAGGAATGTAAGACACTTAAATTGGTACGGGGAGTGTTATATACCTTTCACTAATCTTTTGTACTAAGCCTGATTGTGTTAGGTGATATTGCTTCATTTCTACTTTGTACACCAGATCAGGAAAACTGAAGAGACTTAGTATTGCCTGTTGCTATTTTAAGGTATGTGAAAGCTTGGTTGAAGCAGTTCAAAAGTTCCCATTGTTGGAGGAGTTGAGTTTGACACACACTGCTATCACGATAGAAGGCATTGAAGCTCTTGGACACTCTTGCCCACGGTTGAAGTCATTTGAATTTAATAAGTCATTGTATATGGGATCAGTCGATGACTCTGATAACGAAGATGAAAGAAATGAAGAAGCTCTAGCTATTGCTAAAAATCTACGTACCTTGCACCACCTTCATCTCATTGGGAATAGTATGACAAATAAAGGCCTCCAAGCTATTCTTGATAGTTGTCCTCATCTTGTTTCTCTAGACTTGCGTCTGTGCAAATATGTTAGCCTCAACAAAGTCTTGAGTAGTAGAATTTCCAGGAATATTAAAGATGTGAAGCTCCCTCACGAATCTTTGGAGGGTCTTGAATTTTCATTTGAGGCTTGTTGGGATGAGGATTTGTCTGATAGCATGTCCGATGATTAGTGAAGCTGTGAACTTTTTAGGTCATTGGTTTATGAACAGTTCCTTCAGATGTTTGTGGCAAAAATATAGGGAATATTTTGTATTATGCATTCCCCATCCTCTAGTATCAATATTTTTGTCAAAGATCTACTTGCAACTACGTTCTTGTAAGTATTGACTAGACTATGTAGTGTTATTTTTCCATTTGACTTATTGTAATGTTTGGATTTTATTACTAGAGGTTCTCTACAATTTCTATGGGCATACAAATCCGCGAAGAAAATATATATAATCTAGACAAATATTCAGAAGGTAGGGGTGGGGTAGGAGAATACTATGAATATAGAATGTCTCTCAAACTCAACATGGACTTGCTTACTCTCTTTTTTTGACAAGAAAGACTTGCTTACTTTGTTGGGACTCATTTTAACTCTTTTTGAACTATTTGATTATCTTGATATACGATAATAAAATGTCCAATGTAATTGCACAAGGATAAAGTATAGGTAGATCTTAACCCTACCTTGGGAGAGAGGTGGTTTACAACTAGAGCTTCTTCACAATTGCATTGTTTTTCTAAAAATATATTGGCCATTCGATGTATATGATCAATTAGTTCTATATGATTAGTATACATATGTGCATCTCATTTCAACATAGGGAATAAATATGGAAAAAGATATTTATTTTCGTATTTTAGTCCTTTTTAAAAAAAAGTCTCATCGGAAAATATTGCACAAGGGGGTTATCGTTTCATAAGAGAGTTCTTTTTTGGTTGTCCAAATTTTAGCATGTAAAATTTCTATGGAATGATGTTCCAACTTATCCCTATTCAATAAATTCCACTAGATGAGTATCATATGAAGATAAACCTAGTACAATATATTGACCAAAGTTAGTAACAATGAAAGACATATAATTAAGTGTTATAGAACAATTGTTATTTTAGAAGTGTATGTGTATCTGCGATAGGGCAAATTATACAATATATATATACCATATTGACTAAAGATAGTAACAACGAAATAATATGGTCTAATCCTATAGAACATAAATTACACAGCTTTCCTTGAAACAAGATCAATGCAAAATCGCCACTCGCGTAGTTGCAATGACTATTTATTTCAACTATTTTAGCCCGAATCAATTGAAACCCAAGTCAGTGTTTCTATGCCTAGCTTTATATAGATATGGTCCAAAATGCATACGCGCTGCGAAAGGGCATATGCAGTTGATAGTTTCATTGATGTAATTTGGATAAAAGAAACAAGGAAGAATGACTGTTGTATCTTGATCCACAAAGAAGTGTCATTCCCATATCTTGATCCATTGGTCATCACTCACTGAAGCTACGATTCCTTTCGAAGGTGAATTTACTAATGAAGTAATTATACCAGAATGTGCACTATATGGTCTAGTTATGTTCCTCTGCAAGAAAGGATTCCACACCTCCAACAACTGCAACAACATTTAACAGGTATCAGATAAAGAGGTAAAAGGAGAAAAAATAATCAAGGACTATACATGTGAATAAACTTCAGATCTGACACGACAACTACTCAGTTTGGAGTTCTAGTAGTCGTAAATTTCCCTCAACAGAGAAGTTATGAAGCATTGCAAAATCATCAAACACGAGTAGGGAAGAAAAAATATTCAAATGAAATCAATATGCAATCAACATTTTCTTTATTGAGATTAAATAAATAGCAAGAATAACAACAATACTCTCGGAAGAAAACCTCATATCAAAATGAGCATTCCAAGACATATTATTATGACACCATAACGCAAACCTGCAGACAACGCATATTCTTACCCTCGTATTATTCCTTTTTCATTTCTTAGGGTTTGGCTGACAAAGAGAAAAGTTCTGTATTTCATTTTTAATTTTTTTCGGAATGGTTCAATATCTAAGAATCCTAAGTTATATTTGTTGTTTTTTGCATATATATATATATATATATATATATATATATTAATTGAGTCAAGTCTGCAAAGAAATTATGTATGAACTCAAACCCTTATCAGAAAATGTCCAAATTGTGGTAAGCATACCTTATCAGAACCAATCACCAACCCTAGAGGGTGCCCAAAGTGGAAAGTGCATGACTGGAACTTATTTCCACTAGAGTACAATTCATATAAACACTTTCCGTCACTAACAGACCATATCCGCGCACTATCTTCACTCACAGATGCCAGGTAGCTCCCACTCATCTCCCAGCAGATTGAATGGATGTCTTTGACGTGTCCCTATAAATAAATAAAAAACGAAACCACATTGATATGATATAGTTACACAACTAATGAGATATATAAAACAAAAGCTTGATAGACGATCAAGAATAAGCATCTTACTTGTAATTTTTTTTGGATCTTGTTAGTCTCTACATCAAAAATATTTATAATATTTCCAGTATAACTAGCCAAAAAGTCCCCAAGTTGAGGTTGAAATCTAACTTGACTAATACCTCCCTGCATTTGTACCAAGAGCTAATCAATACAGTTTTTCATGAATGAATTATAGTTATTACTCAATAAACCACTCTTTTCAGAGCACCGTACAATGCGTTGTTGAATGTGATACAGATGTTCTTTTGAAAACCTTGAAATTTCTTGAAATTACGAAGAAAAAATAATAAGAAAAAACAATTCCTACAATCAAATGCAAGAATTCAAGAAAAAACACATTCAACAATGATTTGAATTGGATAATTAAGTAATCTTCAAATAGAAATGGAAACAGAAACAACAGCTAACTATCGAAGTATGGAGCCTTCATATGTCATATAGAGATGCATTTTTATCAACATCTAAAGAAAAAGAAGAAAATAGAGACACCAACCTTAAAATTGAGTTTGCAATCACCGCTATTGACATCCCACAGTCTAATCTCGTCATTGCTATCACAAGAACTGAGGAGACTCAACTTTGTTGGATGAAAATCTATTGACATCACATGCCCATCATGGCCGACAAGCTTTTGGAAAGGATTGCTTCGCTGGATGAAGACAAAATGGTGAAACATGTACCGTATTGTGGTTATAATAGACACAGATCAAAAGTAAGCAATTCAAGTGATTATACAGTAATTCTTATGAGAAATCCTGATTATCAGTAGAAAATAAAAAGACTCTAAAGGTCTAAAGATGTTTTGGTAACAGGCAAGTTCCTCAAATATTGACTCAAATGAAATGTATTATAGACAACATAATATTATGATGTTGATATTTGATATAATTGAGACAAATGTTTTGAGTATTCTCACTACTGAAAAATACAATGTAACAATAAATATCACATGGAAAATTCAATGAGCAGCTAAAAATAAATATATGTTCTCATTGCAGTACAAGCAAAATAATCGGGATAATATTAGCACAGAAATCAGAAGAAATAATGTGGACCAAGAACAAGAAAATCATAGAACTAATGAATATATATCCTGGTGATTTGAATCTGTGCTGACTGCTACTTGTGAGCCGTTACAACTTAAAAGAAAAGTAACTGAAAGACTCATTCGACAAAGGATCTGCAATGGAAACTAGTGGTAGTACCTTTGTTGCATCCCATATCTTCACAGTTCTGTCAAACGAAGATGATGCAAACACTGTTGAGTTTGGTCTAAAACAGACATCTGTGACTTGATGAGCATGCCCTTGTACACTACAAGTTCTGTTATTTCCTAACTCCCAAATCAAAACCTAACATAGATCACAGTACAAGTTTGTTAATGGGAGAATTTCAGACAAGCACTCTTCCATCTGACCAGCTAGAATCCTGTTGAAGATTAATAAGACAAACCTTCCCGTTGTCTCCACCGGTAGCCAACAACTCTCCTTTTGAATTGAAGTGGCAACATAGGAGCTTGCTCATTTTTGTGTCAAGGTTACTAATCTCTTTAAAAGAGTTTTCTGCAAAGCAATATGAAATCAATTATCCTTTGTGGCCAATTGGGTTCTCAATATGACATAGATGCACAACCTAACAAGGTGAGTATAGAGCCAAACAACAGGTGACACCAGTTATGTACAGTCCTTATGGAGGATTAACATTTTCTGTCAACAGTCAATTATCTAAATTGCAACATTTTTAATATTAGATTTCTTAGGAACCATTAAACTTGTTGTCCCCTACCTTTCTGCGGAGTAGCAAATTTTTTCGTCGATGCATCAATTGAACTACTTGCAATGACCAGACCATCATCTCCTTGGGAATAGCAGCTTATAGTCTTATTCTTTGCAACACCAGAGACAGTAGCTTTTATGCAAACCTACAACTCAGGAAAATATTAAAGGAGCAAGAATAAAGTAGATGAAGACTACATTGACATTCCATGCGCATTCGTCCAAGTGACTATTATGGTGACAGAGACAAGAACAAACTAGGAAAGTGAAGTCCAATCCAAAAAAATGATGATGTTTATCAGCGGCAGAGTGAAAACGAATCACCAGCACATGAAGGGCTTAAGAAGTAGATGCAGAAAAATGATCTTACGGATGCCAAAGAACTCAATGGAGCTTTCCTCTTTATGCCACTCTGATACAAAACACAAATAAGAAATTAGAAGCCAAACAGGGGCACATGTTTCCTCAATTCTGGCAGTGCTAAAATATTGCTGAAATTTAACGACGTTCAAATAAAATCAGTTTCTAGCAACAGCCTTTGTGATATTAGCCATACCTTATTTGAATACTGCAGTCCCAGCTGGTTTATTTTCTCCTGCACTGCAGGTTGCTTTCCAGATCTTCTCTTAAGTCCTCCCATAGGAGCTAATTTTTGATGGCTAGTTGGTAAAAACTCTGGGGTCCTCTGATCTGTATCAACTAACATCTGTTCAATGCCAGAAGAAAAAGTTAAGGCAGGAAAAAAATCTCAATCACAACAGTGTAGTAGGGTAAACCTATATTTTGTCCCTCAATCTGTTGATTACTGGACTATGCAAATACTTTGAAATTTTTCTCTTTTTTTCTTTCTTCTACATAGGTTTCTGCTTTTAAAGTTGAGTTTTAAGTTACAGTTCTTATTTTACTTACTAATAACTTGTTGTACAAGGTTTTTACAAAGAGATTTCAACAACCAGAAAATTCTAAAAACCAACTCATGGTTTCCATGGCTAAAATAATTGCATTATGTTACAATCCCTAGGAGCGAAATAGTTACTTGAGTATTCAACTTACTCCTGCATCTATTCCACTTGAGTCAGCTTCAGTGAACATACGGAAGAAATCAACAGTACTTGCAAGGGCAGGAAGTTTGAGCTTATCCAATGTATGTACTATGTACTACTACATTTGGTAGAACATCCTATAGTGGAAAGGGTGTAGTTCTCAAAAGACATTTAGTTGGCACTATTACATTGGGATGTACAACTGGATGGCTAATGACGGGGAATTGAAGCAACTCCCAGGGTTGAATATGAAAGGAATGAACTAACTAAAAGCTGACCCGAACCTAGAGGTCCTAAACACCATAATGGACTTCACATTTCTATTAACGCAAAAGTTCAAGGTACTCACAACGGATGGCCATCCTTGATGAGATGCTTGTTGGAGAGATATGTTGTTCCCTGCAGGAACAACAACGCAAAAAGATGATCAAAAGGAAATATAATTTTAACAAGAAAGATAAGGTGATCTACGGGTACAAAGCATAAGAAATCAAAAGGAAATTTAAAATTTTGAAAAGAAAGATAAGGAGATCAAAAGTGCATAAAATGCCAACACAACCTGATGGAACATTGTACAATATATAAAAAAACCAGCTAGGCCTCAATTCCGAGCTACTTGGGCACATTGTAAAATTTAATGGTAAAAAGTACATGAAATTCATCTATCTGATCGCAACACGAACTTCTCATGGTGCTTTTTCTAAAGAGAAAATGTACTGAATAGCACTCATCAAACTGATTATTTTGCTGAATCTAAGTCTTAAAGATTGTCTGTTTATTTCATACTTCCTTCCATGTTAGTTTTCCTAGTGTATTTTGCAGTGAAAATTGCCAATTGATAATGAATCGAACTTCAAAATGAAACTGGAACTAAAACTAAGAAATTACAGGGATTAAATCTTGGTCAGCAATTCAATGGAAATTAATTGCACATACAGAGTTTCATCTTCAAAAAACTCAAAAGGATAAAAAGATGTGAAGGGAAAGGGCATTGTATCAAAGTTCTATTTTAGAAAAGCCTCCGGCGCATACTTGCTTTGGTGGATCTTATTCCTAAGTTGTCATATGTTCATCCTTTCTTACTTCAACCTACAACATGCATCTCTACCCAAATGGGGAAGTGTGTCATATACAAACTTAGTTGTAAATTTTTTACTAAAGGTAATCTCTAACTAGCCATTGGCATAATCACCAAGAGAATGGGAGTCAACGATAGATATCACATGTGTAGTTTCATCAAGTTGCGCTCATATATCAAACTAGCTTCAAATTGGAGTAGAGCTCAATTCGAATATATGTACACAAGATCAAACACAAATCATTATAGAGTAACAAGCAAATTTACAACCTTAAAATCGAGTATAATACACATCTACTAGTATAATAAATTTGTATCTTAGAATCAAATCGAAAAGTAATTTTATATTACAAACAACAACATACACAGTGAAATCCTACAAGTGGGTTCTAGGAAGGGTAGAGCGTACACATACCTTACCACTACCTCGTTTCCGGAGGAAAAATACTTTTATATTAAATATATAATGTTTTTTTTTGTTTTCTATAAGTGTAATACTTGATAAACTCTTAATACACTTTATACTTATGTCAAAATAATTATTTTCAACAACATTGGTTGGCCTTAAGGTTACACATGCCAAAATTGATAAACATGCTAAGGTTGAGTTAGTCGAGTTGTATGTACAAACAAATGTGGCTCGCAGCTCGCTTAATATCTCTAATTAGTTGAACAACTAAATATTACTCCCTCCGTCCCATTTTATTTGGCAACATTTGACCGGGCACGGAGTTTAAGAAATAAATGAAGACTTTGAAATGTTTACCAAATTGCCCTTTAAAAAGTAGACTCTTTTTTCTCTCTCCTCATAAATGTATTGAAGTATTATTTTAAGATTAAGTGGGACCAACAAGGATAAAAGAGGAATTGTACCTTTATAAACTTACCATATAAGGAAATGTGACATTCTTTTTGGGACTGACCAAAAAGGAAATGCTGCCACATAAAATGGGACAGAGGGAGGAGTACCTGATAAATAAGGAACAAGAGCAACCTTAGACCCATGCAGGCAACATTTATTTATCTTTTGAAAATGGTAATTGTTTCTATTTATGTAGAACCTATGTACTGAAACCCGTATTTACAACAACTCTAATAATACCGACATATCCCTATAATGAGTCTAAGACATCAATGATAGAGACGGTATCATAAGAGTAAATTTGATTACACCAAAAACACAGAGGCACGATGTCCGAGGTTTTCATCTGAGGTCCCTTCTGGGCCCTGGATTCCCATTCCGGTGGACTTCTTCCATCGGAATTATCTCTTCTGTCTATCAACCTCTCTTCTTCTATTCATCTTCTTCTCATCATGGGTAGCGATATCATCTATTTTGCGGTAGGTTTTAAATCTTATGACATTACAAGGAAGATCTCAAGGGCTGAGATTTGGTATGAATGGGTGGAAAGAGGCCGAAACATGATGACTAGGGCGAGTTTCAGCCAGAAAACGATGGAGTGGATAGTTCACCTTTTGAAGGAAGCATCGAAAACGAAAGGAAACTCGGTGAAGAGATGGAAAAATCACGACCATTATTCTGAGATTTTCTGCTCAAGAAATTTTAACAGATTTGGTCGCTATTTTAGTATCATTAATTTGCAAGGAAAGAAGAAAAAAATTATTATTATTCCAGAATGGTCATTTAATTCAGGGTGGTTGGATATTGCTACTAAGATAACCAACTTCATTAATATCAAAACCACAAGGACAGTCAAGCTTTTACATCGTACGACGGAGGAAGGGCTCCTTTATGCAGAGGCTGTCAAGAATAATAAATGGTCAACCAGAGAGATGAATGATGCTGGGGTAAACAGGAAAGGAAATTCCTTATTTATTTCGGAAGATGCTAGGAAAACACAAAATGAACTTCTGGATAGGAGCGTGGTAGGAAGCCTACCAGAGGAGATCTCGAATGTCCATCTTGCTGAGATCCGTCGTTGGGCAAATAGTTCTTGGAAACAACACCATGGTATTTACATATATGAGATGGGACGCAACCAATTTCTCTTTGAGTTCCCAACCAAGACAACAGCAGACCATGTGTTGAAGGGAGAATGGTTCTGGAAATCTCACAAATTCCATCTAGACTGGTGGACGCCATGCTCAAACTCCATCGAGGAAAGCCTGAAGGAAGTTTGGATCAGACTGGTAGGCCTTCCACTCCAGTTTTGGTCCCAAAAGATCCTTCGAGAGATCGGAAATCTGTGCGGTGGATGGATACAAACAGAAGAGGAAACAGAGCTCCGAAACCACCTAAAATGGGCTAGAATAAAGGTAAGAGGGGATGAAGAATCAGTCCCAAAGACGGTGGAACTGATACACGATGGATATATCTTCAAGATCCAAATTTGGATTGAAGCTCCGGCGAGGTTGGTGAATAGTGGACAAAGGGGGAAGAAGGGTATTACCCAGCAGTCTATGAAGAAACCCTACTTTATAGAGGGTAGGGGGGTTTTGAGTGCACCGAGGTGATGGGGCACGTGGGCACTTCAAAGTCGCAGGAAAATTTGAATTTTACAGATGGGCAAACGTACCAGAGGTCACGTGAAAGGGATGAGGGTCTTGATACACGTGTGATAGCACATGCAGGCAATTTAAATGAGAAGAAGGAATTTTTGGGCTGGGGAAATTTGGGACATGATCCAGTGGCCCAAATCGGTTTTAAAGAAGGGGAGGGGAAAAATGCAAAAGGCCCAGCAGACCCTTTTATAGATGAAATAATAGCAAATCAGTGGAAAGAAGCGCAGGCCTCTCAACATATCAGAGGAGAAAATATTTTTGACACTTCATCAGGAGACTCACAAAGCGAGGGAGAAGAGCTAGATCAAGAGCTCCAGGATGCAACTCAGAGGGATGATGACGCTATGTCAATCATTCAGATGGACTGTAGATTAGAGATCGACACTTATGCAGAACTAGGAAACAAAGAACTTGGAGCTGTGAATGTTGAGGAAGCCACTCCATTGAATTACACCGAGCTACCAGAGAACTTCGAACCAACATCGGACTCTACAATTCCTTTATGGGTCCGACAGAACATCATTAATCTGGGAAAAGAATTTGGGATTCACTTTAATGGGTGTGAGGAAATTGCAGAGGAACTGTTCATGAAGATAGATGGGAAAAGGCAAAGAACCGGTGAAGAAGCAAAGGCTCTAATGTTGATGACACCAAAATCAAAAGTCTCAAAGGAACTAAAAAACCTGGAAGTGGGAACAAATTTTTTTAGCTATGGCACAAGAAGTAGGGGGGGATGCAACATCGTGCAGTCTCATGAAGATTAACATAGTTTCATGGAATGTGAAAGGACTAAATGATGCCAGGAAAAGGCTGGTGATCAAAAGTCTCATACACAATTGGAAGGCAGATGTATTTTGTTTTCAGGAAACTAAATTGCAAGGGGATATAAACAACTTAGTGAGAGATTTATGGGCCAACAGATGGGTAAAACATGCTCAATTAGAGGCAAGCGGAACTAGAGGGGGAGTCATTCTAATGTGGGACAGCAGAGTTTGGGAGGGGGAAGTATGTGAAACAGGTGCATATTGTATTACGTGCAAATTCACCGGCAAATCTCTGGACTTCAGCTGGCACATGTCTGGAGTTTATGCCCCTAATAACAGAGGAGAGAGAGGAAGTATGGTGGGAATTGTGCTCGGTGAGAGGTCTTTTTTCAGGACCTTGGGTGGTTGGGGGGGACTTCAATACAGTCAGATTCCCTTCAGAGAAACGAAATTGTACCAGATTTAATAAGGCCATGACAGACTTCACAGATTTTATCGAAGATGCAGAGCTACTTGACATCCAGCTAGCGGGAGATGTTTTTACATGGAAGAAAGGAGAAGGCCATGATCCTGCAGCCAGGCTGGATAGATTCCTGATCTCTGAGGAATGGGAGAACACTTTTAAGAACATCAAACAATCGACATTACAAAGGGTCATTTCAGATCATTGCCCTCTGATATTGGAATGTGGTAATTGGGAGAGACCAAACTCCTATTTCAAGTTTGAGAATTGGTGGCTTCAAACAGAAAATTTTAAGGAAATGGTGAAGACTTGGTGGGATTCCAGTAATTTTAGGGGAAAACCTGACTTTATCCTGGCAAGTAAATTAAAATACTTGAAGGACAAACTCAAAGAGTGGAGCAGAACAAGACAGGGAAACTTGGGACTACAGAAACAGAGCATTCTCAATCAACTGGCTGACCTAGAGAGGATACAAGACCAAAGACAACTCACAGATGATGAATCCTATTTAAGAGCAGTTCTCATCGTTGAATTTGAAGATAATGCAAAGAGAGAGGAAGTAGCTTGGAGA